GCAACAGCCATACCCACACTTCAGCCAGTTCAATGAGACCCAATTCCATAGGGCCAAGCACAGGCCATGAGTTGCATTACACAAGCTTAGGAACCCCATATCTTTCATAACGGGTGGTAAGCCTACCTAACCTTTGCCCTAGAGGGAAGCATTATCCTTACTGCATGCTTATAAACAAACTCACCCTTTGCTCTGGATAGAGATAGTACCTCTACCTACAATGGGTGCTCACTATATAAGCATCCTTGCAAAGATAGTAAGGAACAAAAGAAGTCAGTTCCTCTGCTCTTAAGACATAAAGAAACATGAGAGACCCCTGTCTCCCAACAATATCTAAATAAATGGACATATATACCATGTTCATGGATCATGAATATTGGAATTCATGAATATTGGAAGATGCAATATTGCTAAAATGTCTCCTCAAATAAAATGTCAATTCAACATAATACCAATAAAATTCTCAGCCAGGTGTTTTTTTGGTAGAAAGTGACAAACTGATTCTCAATATATCTGGAAATGCAAAGAACTTAGAAATAGCCAAAACAACTTTGAAAAATTAAAACAGTGTTGGAGGATTTACAGTAAATGACTTTGGGGAGAAGAAATGTGTGGGAAATATCAGAAAGGGAGACAGAACATAAAGACTCCTAACTCTGGGAAACGAACTAGGGGTGATGGAAGGGGAGGAGGGCGGGGGGTGGGGGTGAATGGGTGACGGGCACTGAGGGGGGCACTTGAGACGGGATGAGCACTGGGTGTTATTCTGTATGTTGGCAAATTGAACACCAACAAAAAATAAATTTATTATTAAAAAAAAAGATTTATTATAGAGTATGGTATTGGCATAATGATACAAAAATGTATCCATGGAACAGAAGAGTGAGCCAAAACCTCACCTCACATACACTGGCATGTGATTTTCAACAAAGGTGCAGAGGTTATCGGGTGGAGAAAAGAGCCTTCACAACAAACAGCATCACATCAGCCAGGCAGCCTTATGTAAAAAAACAACTGGGACTCCCACCTCTTACTACATGCCAGTATTAATCCAAAACAGATCATAGACCTGAATGTAAAATGTAGAACTATAGAACTACTGAAGAAAAACAAATTTAAGAAACTTTGTGATCTTGAGTTAGACAAAGCTACCCCAAAAGCACAATTCATTAAAGAAAAAGAATAAGGTAAGGGGCACCTGGGTGGCTCATTAGGTTGAGCATCTGCTTTCATCTCAGGCCATGATCCTGGAGTCCTGGGATCAAGTGCCACATTGGGCTCCCTGCTCAGTGGGGAGTCAGCTTCTCTCTCTCTCTGCCCCTCCCATTCACTTGTGTACTCTAAGAAATAAATAAAATCTTTTTTAAAAAAAAACAATGTTAAACTTCATCAAAATTAAGAAACTGAGCCTAGGTGGCTTAGTCAGTTAAGTGTCCAACTCTTGATTTCAGCTGAGGTGATGCTTTCAGGGTCGTAAGATTGAGCCCCACACTGGACTCCGTGCTCAGTGGGGAGTCTGCTTGAGATTCTCTTTCTTCCTCTCTCTCTGCCTCTCTCCCTACTCTTGCTCTTGCTCACTCTCTCACCCTAAAATAATAAATAAATTAATAAATATTTTTAAAAATTAAGAACCTCCATTCTTTGAAGATGCTCTTAAGAAAATGAAAAGAGAAACCACAGACCAGAAGAAAATATTTGCATATGTATCCAATATTTGGATTTGTATCTGGAATACACAAAAAAAACCTCTTGATATTCAATTAAAACAACTCAATTTTTTTTAAGATGGGCAAAAGATATGAAAAGATATCTTATCAGAGAAGATACGTGGGTGGGAAATAAGCACATAAAAAGATGCTCAGCATCATTAGTCATAATAAAAATGCAAATTAAGACCACAATAAGGTGCCACTATGCCCCTGATGGAGTGTCTAAAGTTAAATAGAGGCCACACAAGCCCCAACAAGGACACGCATCAGCTGGAACACTGACACACCACTCTAGGGTGTGCTAAATGGTAGCATACACCACATACCCAGACATTCCACTCCTAGGTATTTACCCAAGAGAAATGAGAGCATATGTCAATGTAAAGACATACTAGAATGTTCATAGCATCTTCACTTATAATAGCTAAAACCTAGAGACAATCCAAATGTCTATCAACACCTGAATAAGTAAAGCAATTTGGTATACCCACAGCATAGAACACTATTTAGCAATAAAAAATGATCAACTATTATCCCAAAATAACATAGTTGGATCTCAAAATAAATATGTTGAATGAGAAAAACTAGGCAGACAGAGTACAAGACATATGATGTCAGTTATATAAACACATGGAAAATGAAAACTAATTTATAGTACAGAAAGGGGGTGAATAGCTGTCTGAGAAGAGAGGAGCAGGAAAGTAAGGGAGAGGCACCACCAAGGAGCACAAGGTACCTTTTGGGGCTGATGCTCACCTTCACTACCTTTATTGCGGTGATGATTTTACAGGTGTATATTTATATCAAAACTTAATCAATTTTTTGCCTTAAATGTGGGCAGTTAATTGCATATCAATTACAATTCAAAAAATCTGTTACATAAAATAAGCATTCATCACCAAGTGGAACTGAAGCTCAAACAGAGATCAATCCAAATTACGAAAAAATAAGGAAAGTCTATTTTTTGCACACCTAAGTGAAATATGTACCTACTGAATACATAGTGTTAAAAGTTATCATGAGCAAATTGGGACAAAATCAGGTTAAATTTGTGGTCAGACACTGATTCTAACATTTTTGATATGTCTCCTGAGGCAAGGGAAACAAAAGCAAAAATGAACTACTGGGACTTCATCAAGATAAAAAGCTTCTCAGGGCAACAGCCTGAGATGTAGATAATTTGGCTAATGTACACAATAGCCAAATTATGGAAACAGCCCAAGTATCTATCAACTGAAGATGGATAAAGAAGTTGTAGTATATATACAATGGAATATTAGCCATAAAAAGAATGAAATCTTACCATTTGCAACAACATGGATGGAGCTAAAGGGTATGATGCTAAGTGAAATAAGTCAGTCAGAGAAAGACAAATACCACATGATTTCACTTATATGTGGAATTTAAGAAACAAAACAAATGAGCAAATGGGGATAAAAAGAGACAAACAAAGAAACAGACTCAACTATAGAAAACAAACTGATGATTACCAGAGGGGAGGTAAGTAGGGGCTGCGGGAAAGAGGTGATGGAGAGTAAAAATACACTTATCTTGATGATGAGAGAAGTGCTGAACCACTATACTGTACATCTAAACTAGTATAATATTGTATGTTACTTACATTGGGATGGAAATTTTAAAAAATAAAAATAGATAAATAAATTGGTGGTCACAGAGAAAAGATACAGTAGAAAGAACTTTTATTTTAGAGATAACAAAAAACCCATATACAAATAACACATATGGGACTTCAGAGGTGCAATCTCAGATTTTTTTAAAGATTTATTTATTTAGCAGCAATGTCCACAATAGCCAAACTGTGGAAGGAGCCTCGGTGTCTATCGAAAGATGATGGATAAAGAAGATGTGGTTTATGTATACAATGGAATATTCCTCAGCCATTAGAAATGACAAATACCCACCATTTGCTTCAACGTGGATGGAACTGGAGGGTATTATGCTGAGTGAAGTAAGTCAATCGGAGAAGGACAGTGTATGTTCTCATTCATTTGGGGAATATAAATAATAGTGAAAGATAGTGACAGGGAATATAAGGGAAGGGGGAGGAAATGTGTGGGAAATGTCAGAAAGGGAGACAGAACATAGAGACTCCTAACTCTGGGAAACGAACTAGGGGTGGTGGAAGGGGAGGAGGGCCGGGGGTAGGGGTGAATGGGTGACGGGCACTGAGGGAGGCACTTGACGGGATGAGCACTGGGTGTTATTCTGTATGTTGGTAAATTGAACACCAATAAAAAATAAATTTATTATTAAAAAAAGATTTATTTATTCACGAGAGACACAGAGAGAGAGAAACAGAGGCAGAGACACAGGCAGAGGGAGAAGCAGGCTCCATGCAGGAAGCCTGATGTGGGACTCGATCCTGGGATCCCGGGATCACACCTTGAGTCAAAGGCAGAGGCTCAACTGCTGAGCCACCCAGGCATCCCTCATATTTCTTTTTCCCCACATTCTTTCATCTGACATTCAGAGCCCCAGACAACCTACAGCACTGTTTTGTCCACAGAAAAAGGGACAGCTGAATGTCCTTTGCCAGCTGTTAAGACAGTTTCTCTTTTGGAGTGTCTGGGTGGCTCAGTTGATTAAGTGTCTGCCTTTGGCTCAGGTTGTGACTCTAGGTTCCTGAGATCAAGCTCCGTATCAGGCTCCCTGCTTGTAGGTAATCAGCTTCTCCCTCTGCCCCTCCCTTATGCTTCTGCGTGCATGCTCTCTCTCTCTCTCTCTCTCTCTCTCTCTCTCTCTCTCTCTTACTTTCTCAAATAAATAAAAATATTTTAAAAAATTAAAATTAAAAAAATTTTTAAAAGATAATTTCTCTTTGTGTCACAGAATCATAACTAACTGAAAGCAATACTTCAGAAACAAAACTACAAACAACCTAGCATACCACTGAGTTCTCTCTAGTTTGAAATCTCTTAAAAAAACACTAACAGGGCAGCCTGGGTGGCTTAGCAGTTTAGCGCCTGCCTTCAGCCCAGAGCCTGATCCTGAAGATCCAGCATCGAGTCCCATGTCGGGCTCCCTGCATGGAGCCTGCTTCTCCTTCTGCCTGTGTCTCTGCCTCTCTCTCTCTCTCTCTCTCTCTCTCTCTCTCTCTCTCTCTCTCCCTGTGTCTCTCATGAATAAATAAATAAAACCTTAAAAAAAAAAAAACCACTAAAACCTTAGGACAATCAACCCCTATTTCTAATACTTTACACCTTCCTCCAGCCACAGCGGACCAGGTACCCATGCTGTATGAGAAAATGTACAGGGAAAGCCTGTCCTCACCACTCAAAAGCCACCACAGCAGTGGGATGAATCCTGGGCTCTCGCTGATGTACTTCAAGCCTTTCAGGTTGATGCTCACGTTGTACAGGGACATCAGCAGTAACCTGGAACATAAAGAAGACAGATTGAGGTGACGCCCACGGGAAGTCTCACCCTAAATACAGCTCCTGGTTAACAGGGCTTTCCGACACTCTGCAGGCTGGGTGATGCACGTCAAACAATACTGATCTCCGGGACACTATGGGAAAGTGGGAAGCTCCAGCAACACAGCCCCATAAAACCACCTTGTGAGAGCACACAGGACCAGGGTACACAATCACAGAGGGTCCCACAGGAATCTCAGGACCACATTTACTGAGTGATCTCTTTTATGACTGGTCCTGCATTTACACACAGGCAACCCTCAATGCAGAAGTATACTGGGCTCAAACAGTTCAATTCAGCTGCTGAAAATGTAATCCTATCTTTTCACTCACTGAACATTATCTATGATGTCTGGGTAGCCGGCTCAGGCCATACAAGTGTGTCTACCCCACAGCACAGGGGAGGAAGAGCACCCCAACCCTGACCATCTCTAACAACCGACAAGACAGTATCCAGAGTCACACAAGATCTTACAAGCTACCTTGCGAACTGACCATAACTGGTAAGTTAAGAGTCCAATGAAAACTGGAAAACTGTTGGACAAGGGGGTTGTTTTTTTGTATATTTTTTTATTGGAGATCGATTTGCCAACATATAACATAACACCCAGTGCTCATCCCATCAAGTGCCCCCCTCAGTGTCCATCACCCAGTCACCCCATCCCCCTGCCCACCTCCCTTCCCACCACCCCTTGTTCATTTCCCAGAGTCAGGAGTCTCTCATGTTCTGTCTCCCTCTCTGATATTTCCCATTCATTTTCTCTCCTTTCCCCTTTAATCCCTTTCACTATTTTTTATATTCCCCAAATGAATGAGACCATATAATGTTTGTCCTTCTCCAACTGACTTATTTCACTCAGCATAATACCCTCCAGTTCCATCCACGTCAAAGCAAATGGTCATCTTCGTCCTTTCTGATGGCTGAGTAATATCCCATTGTATACACAGACCACAGCTTTTTTTTTTTCTTTTTACCACAGCTTCTTTATTCATTCATCTGTCAATGGACACCGAGGCTCCTTCCGCAGTTTGGCTATTGTGAACACTGCTGCTATAAACATCGGGGTGCAGGTGTCCTGGCGTTTCACTTGCATCGGTATCTTTGGGGTAAACACCCAGCAGTGCAGTTGCTGGGTCAGAGGGTAGCTCTGTTTTTAACTCTTTGAGGAACCTCCACACAGTTTTCCAGAGTGGCTACACCAGTTCACATTCCCACCAACAGTGCAAGAGTGTTCCCCTTTCTCCACATCCTCTCCAACATTTGTGGTTTCCTGCCTTGTTAATTTTCCCCATTCTCACTGGTGTGAGGTGGGATCTCATTGTGGTTTTGATTTCTATTTCTCTGATGGCAAGTGATGCGGAGCATTTTCTCATGTGCTTGTTGGCCATGTGTAGGGTCTTCTTTGGTGAAATTTCTGTTCATGTCTTTTGCCCATTTCATGATTGGATTGTTTGTTTCTTTGCTGTTGAGTTTAATAAGTTCTTTATAGATCTTGGATAACAGCTCTTTATCTGATATGTCATTTGCAAATATCTTCTCCCATTCTGTAGGTTGTCTTTGAGTTTTGTTGACTGTTTCTTTTGCTGTGCAGCTTTTTATCTTGAATAAGTCCCAATAGTTCATTTTTGCTTTTGTTTCCCTTGCCTTCATAGATGTATCTTGCAAGAAGTTACTGTGGCCAAGTTTAAAAAGGGTGTTGCCTGTGTTCTCCTCTAGGATTTGATGGATCCTTGTCTCACGTTTAGATCTTTCATCCATTTTGACTTTATCTTTGTGTCTGGTGTAAGAGAATGGTCTAGTTTCATTCTTCTGCATGTGGATGTCCAATTTTCCCAGCACCATTTATTGAAGAGACTGTCCTTTTTCCAGTGGATAGTCTTTCCTGCTTTGTCGAATATTAGTTGACCATAGAGTTGAGGGCCCATTTCTGGGTTCTCTATTCTGTTCCATTGGTCTATGTGTCTGTTTTTGTGCCAGTACCACACCGTCTTGATGATCACAGCTTTGTAGTACAACTTGAAGTCCGGCATTGTGATGCCCCCAGCTCTGGTTTTTTCAATATCCCCCTGGCTATTCAAGTTCTTTTCTGGTTCCACACAAATCTTAAGATGATTTGTTCCAACTCTCTGAAGAAAGTCCATTGTATTTTGATAGGGATTGCATTAAATGTGTAAATTGCCCTGGGTAACATTGACATTTTCACAATATTAATTCTGCTATTCAACATAGTACTAGAAGTCCTAGGCTCGGCAATCAGACAACAAAAAGAAATAAAAGGCATTCAAATTGGCAAAGAAGAAGTCAAATTCTCTCTCTTTGCAGATGACATACTGTACATAGAAAACCCAAAAGACTCCACCCCAAGATTGCTTGAACTCATACAGCAATTTGGCAATGTGGCAGGATACAAAGACAATGCCCAGAAATCAGTGGCCTTTCTATACACTAACAATGAGACTGAAGAACGAGAAATTAAGGAGTCAATCCCATTTACAATTGCACCCAAAAGCACAAGATACCTAGGAATAAACCTAACCAAAGAGGTAAAGGATCTATACCCTAAAAACTACAGAACACTTCTGAAAGAAACTGAGGAAGACACAAAGAGATGGAAAAAGTATTCCATGCTCATGGATTGGACAAGGTTTTTAACAATACTGCAGAATACAAAGATCCCAAAACTTCACACTGCAAAGCAATTTTTTTAAAAAAGGCAACACAAAGATTTTGCAAACCCCTGAAAGAATAGATGAGCTTGTGAGAAGTGAAGGGAAAACATCCCTGATCAGGAACTGGGTAAGAGTGCAAATTCAGGGAGGCGTGTGCTTGAGAGGACAGATTCCAGAAGCACATCGCTCAGAGCAACACAGTGGCTTTGTGCAGAGTGACAGAAGGAAAAGCCTCAGACCAATGTAAGACAGGGACTCAGGTCACAGACCCCCACACTAAGCCAGGGAAGAGTAAGCTTTCAAGCTTGGCATGAATCCATACTTTATGGCCTGAAAATCCACAAGCCAATTATTTTAATACAAAGGAGAGTTGGGAGGGGCACCTGGGTGGCTCAGCCAGTTACGGTCTGACTCCTGGTTTTGGGCTTGGATCATGATCTCAGGGTTATGAGATCAAGCCCTGTATAAGGCTCACACACTAGGCATGGAGCCTGTTTAAGATTCTCTCTCTCTGTCCTTCCTCACCTCTCTCCTAAAAACTAAAACAAAAGTTAAAAAAAGGAGAGTTGGGATAGGAGCTCCTTCAGCTGCCTAGCCAAAGTAAACATCCTCTTGAAGGAAAGGTTCCTCAACCTGGTCTTCAAGGAATTCCCACAAATAGAGTACTGACAAACGTGGGTTCATAACAAAAATCACAAAACCGTGAAAAACAAGATCCCATAAGCAACAGCACAAAGAATCAATGAGAGCCAAAACTAAAAAAAGAACTGTCAGATAATAGAAATATCAGTTACAGAATAGAAAATGGGTATGTTTAGTAAGTATAAATAATATAAAAAGAAATTCAAAATACCATCAAGGAGCTACTATTATAAATACCCAGTGATTCAAAGGAGAACCTAAAACTTAACAAAAAAATGAAACTGTTAACAATCACAGAGTCAAAGTTCAGGGTAACTGACACAAGGGCCATGAGGCAAGGACAGGTACCCAACAGAGCCGAACAGAGCCAGGGCAGAGGGAAAGAGGGAGGCCAGACAAGAGGTCCCAAGGAGTGGGAACTGGGAAACCAAGGATGGGACACAAATTTGATCGATCACCTCAAGGGAGCCAGGGTTGAAGAGTCAGGTCAAGCTAACTACCTGCTAGGACAAACAGTCATTCTCTTCAGCAAAAGCTAACAGAATCCTGAGTCCAACAAAGACCTGCAATATCAGGGTACAATGGAATACTTAACCAGCAGGGCCCAGTAGGGTGTGGAGAGTAAGACACTTGCTTTGGGGGCAAATGTAAGGGGTGCCAAAACATTCAGTTCAGTAGCCAGGATCTTTTAAATGTATTGTAATCCAAATGTCTAAAAACAAAAACAAAACTACTGCAAAAATCCTATAATAAGCAATACAATCAAATTTTAAATAAAGATGGGATCAGTAACAGTGTCATGCCAAGACACACTGGAGCCTGAGACAGAAGAAAATCAGTAACAGCCATTCAGTCCATTAACAAGGGCCTGATTAAATAAACTGTGGGAGGCGCATCCATGCACGCCACAGAAAGTGCTTATTACAGTTTTCTGTTAAAATAGCTGGCTTCAGGGCGCCTGGGTGGCTCCGTCGGTGAAGCATCTGGCTTCAGCTCAGGTCATGATCCCGGCGTCCTGGGATCAAGGCCCATCCATGTTGGGCTCCCTGTTCAGCAAATCTGCTTCTCCCTCCCCTCTCCACTCATGCTCTCTCTCACACACACAAATAAATAAAAACAGTCTTTAAAAAAAAACAAAACAAAAAAAACAGCTGGTTTCTAGGCTCCATGGCTTATTCAGGACCTGGGACATGGTAAGCACGCAGGTTAAATATGGAAAAGTGAACCAACCCCCAGTGACTGAGAGCCTCTGCCAGGCAAAGCATGCAGAGACGGTCTTTCTCTCCCTGTATTTAGATGAGCATTTTCAAAGGCAAGGCAATGCTACCAGGTTCAAGAAGACAATGCTAGACTAGCACCCGCGAGAGCAATGATGCCCGCTTCTCAGACTATGATCCTCAGCCTCCTCACAGGCCACAGAATGAGCCAAACTTGCAAGTCCTTTCAAGTTTTCCTGACGATTTTTATACATATCCAAAGTCTATTCACTAGTAATCTGTTTAATGAGTTATTAAGAGCTGTTTAAAAGTTGTACTCATGAGGAAAATTCAGCACTTTAACTACAACTTTCTGGAGCCTCCAATCCAGGATTCTAAAAGTGAAGTTCTTACTTCAGATCACACCAACACAGGTAGTTGGAAGTCCTTAAA